TCGGGCCCCGGGGACGGGGCGGACGGTGACCCGCGGTCAGATAGACTTAAGACCTGTGTGGCTGAGAGGTCACACAGCCTCTGGATAGGAGTGGTCCGCTGCCGCTATCACGACGTGGTAGATATATTTGGGCAGTGCGTGTATGTCAACTAAAAAGCGTTTATTACCGTATATTGTCGCAGCTAAGCCGGCTAACACACGATTCGCGCGTTACGCATGAAAGTCATTTCACCAAACCCCGGAGTCTTGGTAAGGGAAACGAAAAGAAGCCACCACTCCTTCTGTCACATGTAATTCATAAACTCCTCTCACAGCTTCACCTGCAAATAGGATATAGGACAGAGTTCGTGGGTGGTTCGTGGCCGCTTCGGGTGTCAGGACGGGCTGGTGACATGGTCTGACCGGCCGCGAACAAAATTAGGTGTCTGGAGGGGCTGCCCTGACCGGTCCTGGACCAAATCAGGCGCCAGGACGGCTGGTCTGTACGGTCCCGGGCCACCTCGGTTGTCACAGAAGTAGCGTGGGAGACACCGGCTGCTAAGGCGGGCGCTATGGGGTGAAGGGGGGGGGGGGGAGCCAGTGGGATGCAGGGTCCGTCGAGGGCTCCGGGTCGACCAAGCGCCTTCCGTTACACGACAACGAATATTATGTCGGGCCTGCTATTGTCATCGGGAAAGAAACCACATTCCCTACATAAGCAGAAACGAAACGACAGACACACTGGCGTACCTACCTATGTCTGCGCCCTGCTAGGCGGCTCCAGCGCGCAGTACGACGACTACGGCGGCGGAGAGCACGGCGGCGACTACGGCGGTGGCTACGGCGGCGGCTACGGAGGAGTTTTTGGCGGCAAAGATGGTAGTTTCGGGGGAAACGAAAGCCCAGATGGTGTCTTCAGCCATGGTGGCGGAGACTTTGACAACCGTCATAGTGAGAGAGATTGACTTTGACGGCGGCCTCGAGGGACGAGGATGAATTTAGAAGCGAGGACGTCCGGCGTAGTGACCACTGATCTGATATAGATCGGGCCGCGACCAAAGCATGGACGGGTTCGGTCGGAATGATCCCAGCAGCCACGTTTACCAGCGCTTACCAGTTACCAGTCTGTTTTGTTCCATGGCGAGCGCCAGAAGAGTGCATTGGTCGATGCTCTTGTTCTTATTTTGCATCCTTGTTATACCATGGATTACCTACTACCTGGATCGGCAACTCCGCGGAATTCCCATTGTATTGCGCGACCGCCCGAAAGTGCTGCCACCTATCGGGCAGACTGATCCCTGCTAAGGACAGCCCGCCGCCGCCGCCCAGTCAGGCAGCGGCCAATACCAGCAAAGTCCGAAAATGACCGGCAAGTTACATGGCCTGAACCAGCCGCGGCTAAGTTTGGCATAGGCCAACAGTGTCGGGTTCCGGAAGAGCGGTCCAGGGCGGTTCCATAGACTATGTATCGTTTTGGAAAGAATGGTGTGGTGGGTCGTTTACCGAGCGCGACTGGCCGATTTTACCTCAGCACGTCGTATTGTTAGCTCTCATGGCCAGGCCAGGCGCCTTCTGCCAGCTGCCTGAAAATACCTTCGATCAAACGACTTTGTCTATCACTCGGGTTGCCCCTGATCAACTTGAGCATTCCAACTCAGTCGTCGGTAGACCGCAGAGGAAATGTGCCGTCCGCCGTGAAACATCCAAATCATTGCTACAGCCATTTTGACTGACTTATAAAGATCAAGACAAATGCTGTCATATCGATTAACGAATATCTGCACCACTGACAATTTCTATCAAGAAGCATTCCATGATTATAAGCTTACCATACACCGTTTCGTTAAAAAACTGTTTCCATATTGAACTTATATTTGCCGTCGCATGAGCGAATTGCCTACTGAGTACAGGCTGAAACCGATTCTTTCCGCAGTCAGAAATCATGTGCGAGACCGAGAGCCTATTCAAATAAACCCCGGTCGCACTCGCATCCATAACACGCACCTCCTTGCGTGCGATTGATGCTATTGCAACTTAATGGATTTGAATAGGTTCTCGTGTGCGATTTCCTGACGGTGGAAATAGTCTGTCTCGGCCTGAAGTTCAGAATTTAACACAGGTTCAATGACAACTGTGAACGATGACACACAATGTATACAATGCATATTATTGCATAGACTGATAGGTAGGTTTCGAGAAACGACGTGCCACATGCCTACTAAACGGTGTCGTAGCACCAAGCTGGTTTCCAATTCACACCTACCACCAGAGTATATCGGGAATAAATGCAAACACGATGCACACGAACGCATTATCCGCTCAATGGGTATGCCCGTAGTGGGTATGTTAGTCAGTTACAAACGCTGTAATACCTTAAACATTTTCGGCCGAGCCAGTTCACAGTTCACACCCCGGCTGCCTGCTGCCGTCACGTCACACGTGTCCGCAGTGGGCGTGCACCTGCGAGTGCGTGCATCATAATTCACATCACAAATCACAGGATGCCAATTCAAGTCAGCACACCGTGGAAACTGAACCCATCTCTTTGATCTGAAACGAAGAGTGAGAGAGGGAAATTAGATACCTGAGCATACCGTAATGAAATGGAGAGTGAGGGCATTCCAAGGCAAACTGTTTCCCCACAACATCACAAAAAGTATTTTACATTGCGATGATGTTGGCAAAAAATAAAATAAATAATACCTTGACAAGATACTCCCAAACAAAAGTACCCAAAAGCTTAACACCTTATCTGCTAGGCTTACATAGTTTAAAATGGCTTTATCTTACTTAAATCTATCTGCTATCTACACACAGTTTGGCTAGCACTCGTTCTAAAAAGGTGATTGTTATATATCATTCAATAGAGGGAAACTCACAAACTTCTTCGTACTACTCTGGACCTTTTGGCTTTGAGAAAAGAAGGAAGCTGATGTCAGGGACCAGGGTCGGCACTCTTTTGTCATTTGTGGTTGACAATGGCACTGGCTGCCATTAGGCTTTCTTTTTACTGTCAAATGGTTCAGTTTTTCAGGCTGAGAACATGATTTATTTAAATGTGTTTTTTTTATTCAATATCATTCAACTATTTATGAAATCAGGGCATTGGCAAGCAGGTTATAAAAATTAGCTGAAATGACATGATGCCAGTCAACTGCTCCTAGTGTGTTGCACTCTAGTCAGCCGTTCAGAGAAATACGTAGGAAACTGATATGGGTGAGCAGTGAGTCTGAACAGTGAGCAGTTGACCAATTTATAGGTAGGTATTGGCACTACACAATATAAAACAGAAACCATTTTCAATAGTTGAACAAATATTGAGTTAAAAAATAATGGCACACTAACTGATTTTGCTAAACTAAAAACTTAACAAAAACTTAAGCAATTCACAACTAACAATGCATCATCCACCACCTATCATGCGCTGCCAAGACCGAAATTGTATCACAAGCAAAACCATGGCTATATCAGCGGCATGTATAAGCTTGAGATATGACGTGTCAAACATATAACAAACATATAAAAACATAAAATTAAACATATAAATAAGTGATTAACCATTCAATTACGGAAATTATACGATTTTTAACGACATATGGCGAGAAGCAATGTGCGCCAGTATCGTCAACAGCCGCTCTTTACAGTCATATTTTAGGCCACTCAGACCCTCCAACCACAAAAAAACCTTACCAATCTTACCTTGCCATCTTCCTCCATCTTCTGAAACCTTCCAATCTGCTCCAAAGGGGCTTAACTTTTCAAAAAACAAGGCAAACGATCCTACGACGCGACGCCGACCATTGTTTTGAATAGCACCCGCTCCCCCGCGTCCTTAGCGCTCGACACCACTGCCACCTAGCGGTGGTCACAAACATCGAGGAGTTGCCGATCCAGGTACTACTTCATCCATGGTTATACTATGTGATTAATGAAAAATCCATTCGTTAAAGTTTATTCTTTATATAAGCACCTATGAGTCTGATGAGTGCAATGCTGCAGCCTGCAAGATACAATTGTCAATAGCTATAGCTTCCGTGAACGTAAAAGGCGAAAGCAACGTCGATGATGCCTGAGGGGTGTTCACGGGCACCGCACACTGCTGCGTGCGGTGTGTGCGGTGCGTCCAGCAGGCGTGGGGGTAGGGGATGGGTAGGCGGCTCTGACGTCACGGCTGCGTGCGGTGGACGGTCCGCTGTGGCCAGTCCCGACCGGCCACAGCGGTCGCTGTGTGCGGTGACGGAAGGCTGACGTAGGGACGCAGTGGGCGGAGCTTGGAGGCTGTGTGCGGTCCGACCGCACACAGGGGCGTAATTCTTTTTTCCACCCAAAGGAAGGCGCTATACGGAGAATATCCCATTGCGTCATTGAAAAGTGACTTACACCTCTCACCGGCCAGCTGGCTGCGTGATGTAGTGGTGAGCACACTCGCCTCGTGATCTAATAACTAGGGCTCGATCCCCGCCGTCGGCCGAACTTTTTGGCGCGTTGTAGGTTAGGTTGTAGGTTTGTAGGTTGTAGGTTTGTAGGTTGTAGGTCTGTAGGTTAGGTTGTAGGTTAGGTTGTAGGTTGTAGGTTTGTATGTTGTAGGTTAGGTCAGGTGAGGTTAGGTTATGTTTGTTTTTGTTTGGTTTGTTTACCAAGAAGCATCTTCGGGTATAGCGCCTTCCTTTGGTTGGAAAAAAGAAACACGCCACACAGGGCCCGTGAACAGCCCTCAGCTAACTTCCTTCAAGTGCTACATGGGCGTTTGAATCTTCAATCTAATATGGCTCTCTTCGTATATAGTTTTGATTAAATTTTTTGTTTTTTTCATCTTCAAAAACTCGAAAATGTACACAATTCAACGGTTCAACCTGCCTAGGACTTCAAGAATGCGTAGTTCACGACGGATTAGTTAGCAAATTGTATTTGGTAGCAGCATCTTAATCCCAAATCGAAACTTATACGCCATGTATGTCGAAGTTGTAGAAAAACATTTCTGTCAGCCATTACAATTATATTGGCATTGCATTTGATGATGATGTGCTGCGCGCCCTAACTCTTCAACAACAACAACAACAGCATTTGATGATGATGCGTGCTGGAGATCCGTAGTTGATTTTCTGCACCTGGGGAATAAGAAGACAGTTGTCAGTGAAAATGCGTGCAGTCCTGCACGCAGGTTTGATAGCTTGGTTATTATATTCATAAGAGACACTTTTGATATTGATATTGAACCCCTGCTGAAGCCTGGACCTCGCTGGTAAGGAAGGTGCCCACATTTCAATTTCAACTTCAATTTGGCTTCATGTGCTGTGCTTGTTTGGAGTATTCCACCTGTTATTTCTTTTTATACCAAAATCTGACCTGATAATTAAATTCCATAAAATTTTCATACACTTTAAAACGTAATGTCTTGACTAAGAATTTGGGCTTTTGGTTGGCCCCCTGGCTCATTGGGCTGCAATTGAGGACGGCATCCTGTGAATTGTGAGGCAAGGCATTCACTGGTTTCAAAGGCTCTTTAAGTTTACTGTATTTCTCTCACTAACAATAGCTCTAACTAGATAATAAGCATTAGTGTTTGATTGACATTATGAGTGGGCAAGATCAGGACTCAGGAGTGCTGTTTGGTCAGTTTTTGTATGCACGCTGTCAGCCTGTTGATGTTTCTCTGCTTTTCATAAGCTGAATCCAGGTGGGGTGTGTTTCAATCCAATGTGGAAGCCTAGTAATGCCTGCAAGCAACTTCAATGCATGGCAGAATGGCAGCAGGCAGATATACAACAAACTGACATGGAAGTTGGAGCAGCCCTTAAGTTTGTTTAGCATATTTTTCAGGCACTAGTTTTAATTCCTAGATCATGTCATTATGTAAATTGTGATGTTTCATTGGTAAGCACTGGTTCAACATTTTTAATCAATCAATCAAACATTTTTAATGATTTCACATGCATAAAAATGTTTCTAAAATACCTATAGGCAAAAGAAATGGGAACTAGAATAAACACCAATTCAGGTTCAGACAGACCATTTTTGTATGATGCCAATATCAATATTGTCAGCATAATGCTCAGCATACAAATTACTTATTGATCACTTCATGGTTACCCTCTCAATCTCCTGCCAGTCCTAATTTCTTGCTTGTCATTTGTGATTGTGGGATAGGGTTTTCATTGTAACAATCCATGAGAGCTCTGGTTGATAGAAGGTTCCCTTGGTATGGTCATGGAGGGATTTTGGCTGATGGGCATTGTCAGAGAGGGTTCCCTAGGTATGTTCAGGCACTGGCGGATGCAGGGGGGGCCACGGGGGCCATGCCCCCCCCCCTAAGGCCTAAAGTGGCCTGTTTGGCCCCCCCCAGAAAAACGCCAGAAAAATTGCTAAGGAAATATACCTTGATGGAGGTTTTTAGCCACTTGGTGAAGTAAAGCTTTCCACAGCATAATATGGAAGCAATATAGTAGCAGTGAGGGTCAGTCAAAAGTTGCGCGAGCGGAGTCGACCTTAAAAAAAGACTGTTGTTGGCACGTGTTTATGGCGCGGCAGCTGGCAGTTGGCGGTGTTTCGCGTGGTGTGGCATCACTGGCGGATCTGGGGGAGGGGGGGGGCACGGGAGCCTGAGGTGCCCCTGACAGGCCTGTGGTGCCCTTGCTAGGCCTGTGGTGCCCCTGGACCCTGGCAGGCCTGTGGTACAGTCCACAGCAGAAGTAATGTGGGGTTTCAGTCATGGGTATGTTCTGCTTCTGAAGCTTAGGAACGATTAGCCAGACTACAATGAAACTTTGAATGTAGCTTATATGTATCGTCACCCTTGCAGCTGCAACTTTAGCTATTGACATCTTCTTTTCAATCACTTCGCATTAAACAATCGCCAGTCAAAGCCAACCGTTGAGTTTGGTAAAACCCTACATTACTTTAGCGGTGGGCTGTACCTCTGGCGGGCCTAGGGTGCCCCTGCTAGGCTGCTGATGCCCCTGGGACCTGACAGGACTGTGGTGCCCCTGACAAGCCTAAAGTGCCCCCAACAGGCCCGTGATGCCCCCGACAGGCCCAAGGTGCCCCTGCGTGATGCCGTGATGCCTGCGAGGCCGGTGGTGCCCCCTGCGAGGCCGGTGGGGCCCCTGACAGGCCCATGGTGCCCCTGCTAGACCGGTGGTGCCCCTGGCAGGCCTGTGGTGCCCCTGCTAGGCCGCTGGTGCCCCTGGGCCCTGACAGTACTGTGGTGCCCCTGACAGGCCCAAGGTGCCCCTGCAAGGCCGGTGGTGCCCCTGTAAGGCCTGTGGTACCCCTGCTAGGCCTCTGGTGTCCCTGACAGGCCCATGGTGCCCCTGCGAGGCCGGCGGCGCCCCTGGCAGGTCTCTGGTGTCCCTGACAGACCTGGGGTGCCCCTGACAAGCCTGTGGGGCCCCTCACAGGCCCGTGGTGCCCTTGCTAGGCCTGTGGTGCCCCTGGCGGGCTGGTGGTGCCCCTACTAGGCCGGTGGTGCCCCTGACAAGTGACAGGCCTGTGGTGCCCCCGGGCACCAAGGGGGTCATGACCCATGTGGCCCCCCTTGGATCTGCCACTGATGCATAATATATTGATTTGTAAAGGCGTTATGGCTTATGCAATATGCAATTGCAGGCACTTGGTATCCCTCACTTATCCCTCATTGGGGCTCTGGCGGGCTCCTGAGGGCCCACGTCTATCTCCGGGAGCCCATATAGACAGGGTCCTTTGGGTCCTTTCAGTATACTATAGCATAAGAGGTCTCCATGCGAGTCCTATACATACATCTGAGGGCGTACCCTGATGTCTGAGGTACCCAACTGCAGCTCCAATGGTCTCTTCTTACACTGGCGGATCCAGGGAGGGGGCATTTAGGGCCATGCCCCCTTCCCAGAGGCCTAAAGTGGCCCGTTTTCCCCCTCCCCCAAACGATAATGAAACATAGTTCAATCAGGGCGTGGCCCAGGAGCCGAGTTAGACAGGGCTGTTTTACCACCTCCCGGCCCGCAAAGGGACCCAAGCACTGACTCGAAGCGGGTTAAAGAGACCCTCCCACCTTCAAAAAAGTTAATGAATTGGCATGAAAGTGATGTCGCTAGGTTCAGAAAGGGCGAAAACGAATATCTACCAAATTTTATCGAAAAATATTCACCGGTTTTCAAGAGATTAGACTTTTATTTTTGTTTACTTTTTGGGATATCCGCTGCTGTTCCTAGCGACTTTATTTGAAAGTGCGGCATTGGTTGCGCGCAAAGCAGCCTATACCACCGCATGCTACCAAACGTTTTAGTAAAATATTAAAAAATCATTAGATCTCCACTGACGTCACACATTCAGAGGGGTATCCAAAAGCATTAGCCCCTCTGAATCAAAATGCTGCAATTTTGAAATTCAATATTTCCGATTTAAAGCATTTCTCGATGTTGTGAGTGCGTGCCGAAACCGGTAATTGTGAGCCAGGGACCCCATTTTGGCTATCTCAGCTCAAATCTAATGTTAAGGTGGGAGGGTCCCTTTAACTGGTCGATAAAAACAATGGTAAGTGTTTGCAAAGTAATATAAAGGCATGGGTCGGGTGGGCTACCATTTATATATTTTTCTTTTTAGTTAAAAAAATTCATAGTGTCAGGGCTGTGACGAAAAATAAGTGGCCTAAATCCGATGAGAAAACAGGATTTGGGGGTACCCTAGGTTTGGCTCCTGCATGAGTTGCCCCCCCCCCCCAAAACGCAAGCCTGGATCCGCCAGTGTGTTCAGGGATGGCTAGGTTTTAGAGATGGTTAGGTGTGGCCAATGACAGTGAGGGTTCTCCAGTCCTGGTATTGTCAGACAGGGTTTCCTGGGCATGGACCATGGTCAGAGGGGTTCCCTGGTGCAGTCAGAGAGGGTACCCTAGTATGGTCAGAGAATATTCCCTAGTATGGTCCAAGAGGGTCCCCTGGGTATGGTCTAAACAGGTTCTCTGGGTATGGCCAGAGAGGGTTTCCACTTTCCTGGTATAGTATTAGAGAGTTCCTTTAGTAGGTATGGCCAGAGAGGGTTCCCTAGTATGGTCAGAAATGATTCCCTGTTATGTTTAGAGAGTGTTGTAATATTGTCAGACAGGTTTCCCTGGTATTGTCAAAGAGGGTTGGGTATGGTCAAAGAAGGTTCTCTGGGTATCACCAGAGTTGGTTTCCTGCCTGGTATGGTAAGAGGGGGTTCCTTGGGTATAGTCAGAGAGGATTCCCTGTGTATGGTCAGAATTAGGAGTCCCTGTTATGGTCAGAGAGTGTGCCTAGTTTCGTCAGAGAGTGTTCCCTGTATGGTATGGTAAGAGTGTTTCTTGGGTACGGTGAGTCTATGAGAGGGTTATATGCTCCCTCATATGGATGGAGAAGGTTCCCAGGTGACCCCTGATTGGTGGTGGTCGGAGGAGGGGGAGTCTGGATACTCTGGAGACCACCCCTCCGGTGTTTGGTCGGTAGTAGCTCTCTCTGGAACAGCTGATAACCTGGACTAGTATCTTGTCACGAGCAAGAGAGGTCATACAATAATTTCTCAGTTGATGTTGATGTTGATGTTGAATAATCAATTTCTCAGTTGATGGAAAAGGATGTGACTGAATCGTCATCTAGTTTTTGGTTATTGGCTGTTTTTTTTTTAACTAATTGTGTTAGCTAAAAGCCTCAGTTTTACATTGGCAGTCAATCTGTTGAATGAAATTCGTATAATAGACACTCGGGCTATGACAAAGGATTATCCTGGCCAACTTTAATACCCACATCTATCTTTGCCGTGGCGCTAAATGACGTTGACACCCACGTGTCACCTTCACTGAATTGCCGTGCAATATGTGACTGTTTTTCCTAGATGCCCAGGCCCAGCTGATAGGGTTTGTAAACATTGACCGAACCTTATAGGCCAAACGTCTGGGTCATGTGCCATTAAACAGCGTGGCCTCCCTAAATATAAACTTTATTGCAAGGCATCCCGGCTGACACCGACCCTGATTAAACTCCGGCAAAGTTGGATGACCAGGAAAATTGTTTCCAATTAGTCTTCCCAGCCAAACTTGTGACGGTCAAGTCGGGCGAGGAGCCGGAAATTCGCAATGGTTTGTTGCACCGGTGTTCCGCGATTGAACTGGAACGGGCAATGAAAAGTCAGTATCGGTAAATCACCACGTCTAGGGATACTTCCTCGATGGATCCGCTCACATAGTCAGCCATTCTAAGCGGTGACGCGCGTCCTATCACCGCTAGGTGGAGCTCCGGTCCCGTTTCCGCAGGGTAATTTCACGCAGTGATTGAGGTGATGCCAGTTTCGATTCGCCGCGGCGGTGGTGCCGTGCGATTTGAGAGGCTTCCTCCTAGTGTTTGACTGACAGTGTGGGGTCCCTTCACGCATTGGGACCTGCTCTACTGGCGGGTGAGGGACGGCGACAGGCTTCAAGGAAACCATAGCAGCTTATGGGTCTTTTAGCTGTGATTTATATTTGGTAATTTTACTCATTTCGTCCAGCGCAGAGCTGAGTGTTGGGACTCCCAAGAGAGGAAGCAATTGCGTTGTGCCTATGTAAGTTCGGTGATGGCTCAAGCTTTCTTTATTTCATTGCAACATTTCGTTAGATTGTCTTACTCTTGGCTACAAAATAATGTAAATGACATTCGTTAATTCTACTTTCAATAGGCTTAGCATCCCTCATCCACAGTCTATATTCAGAAACTATATTTTAAATGCAAGGTATGCTCTAAAAGTAATTGCTTGCCTCATAGGTAGCACGAATCATTTTGTATATGGTTGCTTTTATATCATGTTTACTTTTCGTATTCACAAGCTGCGCCGTTGTTCGGCCAGTCGCACGGAGTGTAGGTTGTTTTTACGTGTTGACTTTGTCGATTTTTTCGGATTTCTACCAATCGTTGAGCCATTGCCGTTACTTCGACTGGGAAACATATGGTTGAAAATCAATCGAGCGTCTGTCTCACTGCTCAGAGATCAAGTGGTCGCTGGGGCTGGCCGTGAGGACTTTAATCTTGGCACCTACTGAGCGTGGCTTAGTCTAGCCGTGGTCTCTGCACCTTGCTATCGACCAGTAATTGAGTTTGTCAAGGTTTGACGTTGAATTGAAATAGAAAACCAGCAGCTAGCAACTGGTGTAACTACCACCTTATTTAAGACAAACCTGTGTTTGCCAGAAGCGGACAGCATTTAAAAGGGGTAACCCTAGCGGGCTCTGGACCCACTTCGAAACAGCCGAGTCAGTATTGCAGATGGCTATCCTCGAAGGTCATCGTGTTGTTTATAGAAACTCAGACGACAGTAGGACATGTTGCGTGATATTATCTGATCCTGAGCAATACGCGTGTTCCTTTGGTATCGTAAAGTGTTTTAATGCCGAGTGGTATCAAAAGATGACCGCTTGCTGCACTGATAGTTACTGTACTGTGCAGATCATTGCCTCTCCGTGCACGTATTGTCTTGATATGCCTATTGTTATGAACCCCACTCGTGGGCTTTATCTAATCCCGCTCTGTTGAGAGCCGCTGATATGCCGCCCTGAGTCAGTCGCCGTCAGTTGACTGCCGGTGTTCTCCTGACGCTGACCGTTCTCCGCTGTGTCCCCAGAGCTGGGGGATGGCTGAGCGGGGCCCGAGCCGGCCACCGCAGCGACCCAGCACACTGCAGCTGACGCGTCCGCGGCCTCTCAGCGTCCACTCGCCGATCGCAGACTTTGCCGACAGTCTGGCCGAGCAGCTGGTGAGCTCTGCTGCCGCCGAGCTGAGACACCAGACCCCGCCGCCGCCTCCGCCGCCCTGTCGGCCCGGCCACGGACGGTCGCTGAGCCTGCACTCGGCAGGTAGTGGAACGAGCTCAGGAGGAGCGCAGAGCGCGCGGTGTCTCATCAGCAAACTGGGAGACGCCGATCTGGACACGGAGCCGGCTCTGTTCAGTCTGCGCCACTCCGCACCCGACGAACCGCTCCACATGACCCTAGAGGAGGTGCGTCGGTCAGTGTGTGAGCTGCCGGCGGCAACAGGGGCGGCGGCCCGGCCGGAGACAGACTCCCCGCCGCCCCCGCCCCCGCCCGTGTCGCCGCCGCCACCGCCGGCCGGCGGGGTGAGCCGGCGGCCGTCACTGCCACTACTGGGGACGGGCAGAGGGCTGCGCTGCGCGCCTCTCTCTCCGCGCCGTGTGCTGCAGAGTCTGGCCCGCGTCCGTCAGGACCTGCGGCAGCTTCTGACACCTCGCCGCGACCGCCGCCCAGCCGCCGCGACTGCCGCTACTGAGCGTCCGCCGGCCCCGTCCGAGACGCCGCCGCCGCCGCTGCCGGAGCGCCCGCCGCCGGCCGAGGCTGAGGAAGAGCATGACGACCATGATGACGAGAACTACCTGGACGGCAGCGGCATCGAGGACCTGGAGATGCTGGGGATTACCGAGGGCTGGGGACCGTCACCGGCGCGCCGCGCCTCCGCCGGCCCGGCCGACTTCGCCACCATCATCGAAAAAGTCAAAGACGTGAGTTAAACCGACCGTGGCACATCGCTACTAAGGCTTCGCTACCGCTGCTCTTTTGGACTGTTCACAATTTTATAAGTTAGCATGCGAAAAAGTGAGTAAAAAAATATTCTAGTTTCCACTTTCCATTGTCACTAACTTTGACGTGTTATCAATTTCTTTGGACATTTTCTAGAGGCTTGTGCAACACGCTTGCGGAACCCTGATTGCCCGTCTAACCCACTGACCCCCTTTCTCTGTCCTCAGTGCGGCTGGTACTGGGGTCCAATCAGCTGCTCCTCTGCCGAGGCCATCCTGAAGAACGAGCCGGACGGGTCGTTCATCGTCCGCGACAGCAGCGACGACCGCTACATCTTCTCACTGACGTTCAAACTGCGCGGCCTCATCCGACACGCGCGCATCGAACACAACAACGGTGAGAGACGGGATGGGCATTGGACGGTGGGGATGGGATATGGGTGGATATTTTAAAAAATAACTGTAGTCCGAACCTTTTGATTGGAAGGATTCACAAGGAAAGAGCCACCGCTAAGCGAAGGTTGTTGCGGTTACCCTGCCCTCTACCCTCCGATCGCGCAATTCCGGTTCTATGGCATAATTTAGAGTCCAAATTGATATTGGAGATATGGGAGAATGTGTGCTTTTCACAAATTGACTGACTTGATGGGGTTATTTCCGGTTTGTTTAAACTTCCGTGCATTATGGACCCTGAAAGCTGTTGACAGTGCGATTGTCAGAGTCAGTAACCCGGCTCTACGTGATCGTTTGTAAGGTACGATCTTACTGTTACGCCTACCACTGCATTGTTCCTAACCTGTATGCTACGTTTAACGTCCTCTTCCCGAACGCAAATGCTTCCATCGCGCGTAATCACCAGCAGCAACGCCCTCTCTCCTCTTCACAGGAAACTTCAGTTTCGGCGGTATGCACAAGTTCCGCAGTAACACCATTGTGGATTTCATCGAGAACGCCGTGGAGTACTCCCGCAGCGGACGGTACCTGTTTTTCCTGCACCGCCGGCCGGCGCACGGACCGATGAGGGTACAGCTGCTCCACCCCGTGTCCCGCTTCAAACACATCCAGAGTCTGAAACACCTGTGCAGGTTGGTACAGGGATGACGGGGTGGGGAGAAAGCTAGGTGGAGGCGGTTGGGTTAGGGCGAGAAGGGTCTGAGCGGATGTGTGGATATGGATCAGAAGGTAGGCCGTTACGAGCGTCTGTTACAGGACTGTAGGATGGCCGATGCGTGAAGGTGCAGAGCGTATGGATGTGGGTGTGATGTGTGTTAAGTGATCTTGCTGATGTAGACATGTTGCCAAAACTGACTGCATCAGTTTTGGGATGCATCACGGAATACGGCATGTAAACCGCATCAGCTGATGTATGCGCCCAAAACTGTCACTCTCCCAGGGACACTGACATTTTGTTTTCACGTTTTTCAGGTTTGTGATTCTGAAGCAGATCCCGCGCGACCACATCGACCAGCTGCCGCTGCCGGAGCCGCTGAAACACTACCTCAGCTCGCCGTGCTACTTCTCCGAGCAGCTGGAGGAGACGACGTGAGAGACACCTGGCGGCGCCGGCAGCGGCTGCAGTTCGCCCCCACACCAATAGGCGGCGTCTCGGTCGGGGCAAAGGTGAATACCCGCGTACTGTTGCGCGTCTGTGAGGCATTTCTGGTCACATGGAGCGTGGAGGCTAGTTGCGTTGAGTTTGGGGTAGTCCAGCACCCGTTCTGTATCCCTGGAGGGTTGAATGAAGGCACCAGACCCTGCCTCTCGATAGGATGTTCTAAGTAGGACTGAGGGCGAACCGCATGGGGCGAATGGCGCCACCCCGGCTCACTCGCTTAGGGTACAAGCTGGCAGACTGCTTTAACCCGATAGCCGGCGCTCGGCGTCGCTTCCCTGCGAGTCTCGCCAGGCTCAGCCGTCGCTGGAGCTTATCGTTTGATAGTTATTTTTGTCACAGCGCGGTAGATGTCTTTTGTTGATGCTGTATTACACGGTGTGTTTGCGTGACACGTCCCGCGGCACTGTCTCGCTTTATTTATTTATTATATGTTGTTGACTGATAGAGCGCTGGTAGAGGCTGCCGAATGTGTTATGCAGAGTTCTGCTTATGCTGAGCTGGGGCAGAGCTCTGCACCAGAAGACTAGTCGTTTGTCCCAAATCTGTTCTATGTTTGCACTCTGTTTGGTGGGGAGATCTGGGGCGTCTGTCCCTGGTCCAGTGTATTAATTGTGGGGGTTAATATTGCGAGCACTTGCGTATGGCCGTCACCTGCGCCGGTCGCCTAGCCACTAACTCTTGCACTGAGGTCCTGCCGTGGCTTTGACACTGCCTGTGAACGCCGAGATACGGGAGCGATCACTCGGACTTGTGTTTTAAAATCTGACGGCTGTTGCTTACTAATTTCACCGACAAACCGACCGACACCGCCCACCGTCATGTGGGCTGAGTTGCTTTCGTCTATCTTTCGACAACCCGTCTGAATCTCTTTCCTTCCTTTCTTTGAACGTGACTACGTGTCTCCTGTTTTACCTCCCGACTGTGTGTGCGATTCTCAGTGACTGTGTGTCGCGTTGTTTTGGCGTCTAACTCCGTGCACTCCAATCCGCTGTGCGTTTTGTGATTGTATCCACCGACGGACGCTCGTTAACGTCGCCCGCGTCCGGCACAGGTCCGCATTTAGTAGCAGTTGATGTATGTACTTACCCCGCGCGCGCGACTCCGAGAGAGTGCGAGCTCGGTTTCTGTGATATCTAGGCAGCGGATGAGAGCGATGCTATCCCCAGAGAGATGCTATATAGATGCGCGCGCCCCGGCGGGCGGTAGCCCGTGGCCGGAGCCCGCGGGGGCCCGGTTAGAGATGTCCAGTCGCGTTCAGTGTCAGCGTGCCGCTTGTTAAATTATTCCGCGCCTGTGTGCGACGTAGCCGTGAGGGCGACAGTATTCTGAGTGAGCTTGAGAGCTGTGACTGAGAGCGGCACAGTAGTCCAGAGCGAGCGGTGTCATAGAGCTGCGGGGAGAGGGGATAGAGGGAGGGAGACAGAGGGAGGAGCGAGCCGGGGGGATAGTGCAGCTGGCAAAAATTGGCGAGTATATATCTATGTCACCGCTGCCGAGCGTTATTTGAATGTTATAACTAATAAATGAGAAATTATCCGTCTGAGATGTGTTTAGGTGACTGAGTTGATACCTCCGTGTGCTTTACGTAACAACACTGGCTGAGATGCACATGATCCTGGCTGCACACACCCAAACTCATCCAGTATTCCCCTCAGTATCGTGAGCTCGCCTGGCGGCTGTCATTGCAAGGTGCCCAGCAAGCGTGGATGTGGCCTAGCACCCCCGCCGGTCACTTGCCGTTTTTTTCGGAATCTGGAAAAATATGCCTGTACCGTAGCTAAGTTGGTAGAACGCTGGACTACCGGTAGTGAGAGCCTGGGTTCGGGTCGCTCCGGTGCTCGATATTTGAGACTCCTGGCGAGTGGCAGGGATGGTCTGCGGTCGGTGGAGCAGCCGCAGCCAGTTGAAGTCAGTTGAGTGGGACAGGTCGTGTCCGGATGCGCAAGAGACAGGTGATTGAATTCTGGATGGACGTCGGTCTCAGACACATCAGATTCATACAGGGTACTCCGTGGTGTGGCGCGGCTTGGCGGTGGTCAAACAGACTTGTTTTCATATTATGTTGTGTTTTTTATGTAATACTCATGTTTATTTTATACCGATTGATTAAGAGAGGTGCTTTAATTTAAGAATTTTTATTCTTTTGCACCAATCTTATAATATTTTTGTGTATGTTTTGCTCATTTGTAATGTTGAAAATAAATGTGTATGTAAATGTGTATGTATGGTTGTCCAACCTACCCATCTATTCGTCAGGAAAAGCTCCTCTGTACATCATACTTCTCTCTCGCCTTCCCATGCAACATACTTCCCTCAGTTTCCCTCAGCTACACACTAACTCAGATTACATCCGTGTATTTTCAATATTGCGACGCTGGCCGGCGCCCGCCCGGCCGCACGGACGCTGCTTCTCACAGAGGTCCTCACGACATTTCACGAGACATTCCAGTCCGCCGTTCCGCGGACCTCGCACGCCGATACACGTAGAAAGCTCAAACACCGGTAAAAACGAACCAATCCCACAGTACGTCGTCGCGCACACTGAACGACACAGGCCGGCTCGGCTACACGGTACAAAAATAACAAAAAAAGACGCGGCGGTGACAGACGCGGCGCGGTGCCCGGCTCAGTCCGTACACTAGTGAGAGGCAGTACAATTAGTGTCGAAGGACAAAACGCAGAGACTTGGAGCTTGGTGGCTTGGGGCTGTCAAGGAGTCGTCAGCCAACTGGTTGCTCGGACTCGGGAGCAAGGGCGTATATACCACCAGAGGCTGGGATAAATAGAAGAAAGCCAGCTGAAGCGTTGGGTACAAGCGTATCGAGATACATGGTGACAGTGATGTGACCAAGCATGGTGTGCTGCGCTGTAAATGCACGAGATAACCATTAGCTAGCAACAGCTGCTTGTAAAAAAGTGGAACGAAGCCAGATAGAGGAGCGATTGCCACCTAGCCAAGTACATTCCAGAAAGTCAAATTTGGAAGGTCAGGATAACCACAGACGAGAAAGCTTAGGACGAAAGGCCACCGATGTCTTCCAAAGCCGCTCATCGTCCCACGGAAGGACCATAGCCACAGTCTGCGGGTAGCACCGCGCCGCACATACATTATACAACCTTAACACCACACAAATCACAACGGAATGGCTCCCCACACACGGCAGTGCCCCGCACACGCATCCACGCGCATGTAAACAAACACAAAACACATGACTCGCCGCAATGCTACGCGGCCTCCACCGTTTGAAAGATCTGTATTTGGTCATCCAGCGTTAAAAACTTAAATATGGTGTCCGAGCGAAGGCCGGTGTACGGTCGTCAAGTTAGATGTAAGTGAATCCTAATCTATAATCTAAGATTCGGAATCAGGTGAGCCCCTACGATTTGGACCAAACTTGGTCAGTGGATAGTACGTAACGTCCTGATTACGATGCACCCAAAATCTAAGCTCGGCCCGCCATATTTACGAAGTTACGGATGTTTGAATTTCAAGGTCATTCGGGAGAGCCCCTGCGATTTCCGTCAAAATTTGTGTACGGACACTCTAGATGCTCCTCATTACGAATATCACAAAATTTAAGCTCGGCCCGCCATATTTACGAAGTTACGGAGGTTTGAATTTCAAGGTCATTTGGAAGAGCCCCTGCGATTTCCGTCAAAATTGGTATACGGACATATTACATCCTCCTCATTACAAATATCATAAAAGTTAAGCTCGGCCCGCCATATTTTTCAAGTTACGGAGTCACAAAGTTACGGAATTTCAAGGTCATTCGGAGAGCCCCTCCGATTTTCGTCAAAATTTGTATGCGGACACATTACATGCTCCTAATTACGAATATCGTAAAAGCTAAGTTCGGCCCGCACTATTTCAAAAGTTAGAGATGTTTGAATTTCAGTGAGTTTCAAACGTCAGTAACTTTTGAAATAGTGCGGGCCAAGCTTAGCTTTTACGATATTCGTAATGAGGAGCATGTAATGTGTCCGCATACAAATTTTGCCGAAAATCGGAGGGGCTCTCCGAATGACCTTGAAATTCCGTAACTTTGTGACTCCGTAACTTGAAAAATATGGCGGGCCGAGCTTAATTTTTATGATATTTGTAATAAGGAGGATGTAATATGTCCGTATACCAATTTTGACGGAAATCGCAGGGGCTCACCCAAATGACCTTGAAATTCAAACCTCCGTAACTTCGTAAATATGGCGGGCCGAGCTTAAATTTTGTAATATTCGTAATGAGCAGTATCTAGAGTGTCCGTACACAAATTTTGACGGAAATCGTAGGGGCTCTCCCGAATGACCTTGAAATTCAAACATCCGTAACTTCGTAAATATGGCGGGCCGAGCTTAGATTTTGGGTACATCGTAATCAGGACGTTACGTACTATCCACTGACCAAGTTTGGTCCAAATCGTAGGGGCTCACCTGATTCCGAATCTTAGATTATAGATTAGGATTCACTTACATCTAACTTGACGACCGTGGCCGGTGTGCACAAAACAAGCGCAAAATCGACAGTGTTATGCCCGTCATTAGCAGATCTTTGATCACGTTTACCGCTACTGTCGCTATGGCAGTTAGCGCCGCCCCACGGCTGGGCTAGTCAGCAGTAGTTACCAGTTCCACCGACAGGTGGCCGGCGTGTCCGACCACCAGTAAATTAGCAGAGCAGAGCCGAACACCGACAGCGTGCCGTACCAGCGACCAGGCGCGAATATCAGGGGCGTGCACGGTGCTTTACTCAGGAGCCCTGAAAAGAGACTTGCGATCAGCATCAGCACAACCAAAGGCTGTCCCACGCACTAACTCAAGGAATCGGACATCGACGCATGATGCAATGATCTTTACCACTGTTCCGATCCAAATAAATTGAAACCCACTTCATGGACCCAAAAAGCCTTACCTATTGGTACGTCACAATGCAATATGGTGTTCGTTTTCCACAAATATAAGCTAGAAATCAACTGCTGAACTTTAGGTCCCCACCTCTCTAACTCTAGCTCTCTCGCTGTCCCATTCTCTCACCTCCCACCCAGGCGGCGCCGGGATCTGGGCCGGCGCCGGGGGCCGGCCTCATGTGACGCCCAGCGTCCACTCGTCGCGCGCGCGACGGCACTGGAACAGCCATTTGACGATGCGCGCGTTCTTCTCCACGATGGAGGGCTCAGCGACAGCGGGCGGCAGGAGGCGCAGGCCGCCGCCGTCGCGCCGCCGCGCCGCCGCCGCCGCCGAGGACGCCTCGCTGGCCACGCTGGTGCGCCGGCCGCGCGACCGTGACGACTCCGAGAGGCCGTCCCAGAAGCTGGGCGTCTCCAGGGGTGACCAGTGGTCGGAGGGTACCCTGGCCAGGTGACCGAACCGCTCGCCGTCCATACCCAGTTGGTCGAAGAAGCGGCCCAGTTCAGTGGAGCACCTGCGCGCGCCGCGAGCCGGCAGCGGCGGCGGCGGCTCGGCGGTCCACAGGCCGAGAGCGCCGCCGCCGGCCGCGCCGCGCCCGTACCGGTGGCTAACGTCCGACTTTGAACGGGTGACGGGCCGGTGGGGCCAGGCCTCCGTGTCGGCCCTCGCCCGTCCGTCGTCCGTGTACGCGTCGCGTCGGTCGCGCCGGCCGTCACTGGGGGTCAGCGCCGAGCCTGGCGAGCGGCTCACGTAGTCGGAGGTAGCCCGGCCGCGACTGCGCGCATCCGACCGACTCTGTCGGCCCGTCTCTGAGGCTCCTCCACTGTCCGCTGAGGCGGAGGAACTGTCCGCACTGATGTCGGGCAGCGACTTGTGCCGGCCGCTGTCGGAGGGGGGACGCGCCGCCGGACTGAGCAGCTGACGGAGACGCGCCTGGACCGAGTCGCCCGAGCGGCGCCGCTCCGGAACGGTCGGCTCGCCGCGCAGCAGGCGGCACGCGCGGCCAGGGCCGGCGCAGCCGGGAGATCTGGGGAAGGAGAAGACAGACTGTCAGAGGGGGAGGCTAGCAGCAGAGACGAGGGGGCATACGGTTGAGCGAGGCAGCGAGAGAGATCGACAGTTGAGCAGACGTCTGGGATAGCTGTCGCTTGGTCGCACGTCGCTTGGGCAAAACGACGTAAAGTGCGTGGGCAAGAACTAAGAAGGCAGACAGTCAATAAAGCTTAAAGTTGAAGCCATCTGACAGCTAGAAACGAATTATAAACGGGTTCTCTCCGGAGTCGCAGGATGTAACGGTTTTACTCGAGTCACAAATTGCGCCGACCGGTACCTCGTTACCGACAGGTCACAGGTCACAGGAACGTCACAGTATGTCACAGGAAGGTCACAGCGGGGTCAATCAACTTCCGCAATCCACTTCCGCAGTTTATCCTGACGCAACTCAGTCCAATCAACGCATGACTGGATAACCTGTGGCAACTGGCAATGACGATGCAAGCCCGGTCAATGAAAAGGCAAATACAAAGTGCCACAAACATGCCTGCTAAGCGCAGTTTGGTAACGCTGAACCACCTAAAAACCATACGGCACTAGTACATCAAAGACTTCCAGGACCCATGCATTTGTAGCAATAGCTAGTTATGAAGACCTATGGCACCTCTAGAGCAGCCAGAGCAGCCCAAGAGATCGATGTTCCGTTCATCCCGACACCCACCTGGCGGGCAGCGGCGGCGGTTTGTCTGCTGAGCCCCTCACACCCTTCTCGGGCGTTTTCCAGGGCGGCTTCTCGGGGGTGAGGCGGGGCGGCAGGGCGGCCGGCCGGGGCGGGGGCGGGGGCGGCGCGGGCGGCGCCGGCTCCGGCGGCGGTTCGCTGTAGGGTCGCGGTGGCCAGGGGGTACGACAGAGTGGAGCAGCTGTGACCTGGAGGTGGTCGGCGTGCTTCATCTCCTGCTTCGAGTCCAGCACCCGCTCCGACTTGACGTAGAACGCCTTGGTCTCCTGCAGCATCTCCACGGCTGACTTCCGCTTCCCTGAGAACAGAGGGAGGAGGGAGGTCAGAGGCCGCGCGCAGAGAGATTCCCACATTGTGATAGTGCTGGAAGAAAAGAAACGTCCTGCACGCAACCAGGGTCAGCGGCTGAGAGTATTGGTATGGGTACGTTTGGTTCGCTAGATGGGCAGCGCGAACTGGGTCAGAGAGGTGTCAGGGGTCGGGGAAGCTTCAGCGTGTTATCCTCGAGGTTCAAGAGATGGGAGAGCAAGTGTCATTGTGAGCGCGTTTTGAACAAAAAACAATGTTTTATGGGGCAAGGGGATGGTTCCTACATTCACACGTCACAGAAGCACGTGACAACTGCCAAACCGGTATGAACAGGTACAATAGAAAGCACCAAATGATAATCACTGACATAAATAGTCAACGCAGGAGGCCCAGCAGAATGATGCAAGCCTATTGCGTTGCAGAGTCTCAACATGCAATACACTTCCATTGCATACTCGTCAAACAGTTAAAATCGCGCCATTATGCAGCAGGCATTGTATCACGCAGCCACTGCGCCATTTACGACATGCCTAATTTTCAATTCCCCCACCACGGCACTCATCGCTCGATGTTCCGTTCAGCCCGGTCCGGACACGCCAGCGCGGGCGAACAATGACGACCGGCGCCTTTCTGAGGAGCCCGGGCCGCGCCGCACGAGATGAGATCGGAACGGGACGGAGACAGAGAGACGGAGCGCCACCGTGCGGCGTACACGGTACAATGGCGCTCCGGTGACCTGGCGCGGCGCACGGGACCGGGTCACGCCGGTGTCATGGCGCGGCGGGTCGCTCCGGCCCACCGCGCTCCGGGAGACCGAGATAGACAGACACGAGGCATTGTCTCGCTATCTGCCGGGGCTCTCAGAGACACCGTCTCGGTTTGGACGGGAGTAACAGACGGGCGGGAGCCGCCGCACAACGGAGTGTTTGTCTCACGGAGACCTAGTTCCATCATACGGGCATACACATACATCATACCGGTCCAAGTACCAGCACTGTGACAGTGTCACTCCCTCACTGTGCCTTTCTAGTTTCTATCAACCCGCAGTCAGCCACACACAGAAACAGACAGGACATACATACCTACACAAAGACAGACACCTAGCCAAACCCGGCAGTCGGAGCCGGACCCTCCCAGTTCGACCTGACGGCAGCGGCGGCTGGCCTGACTCATACGTCCTGTATTTGGAGCGTCGGCCGGCCGACTGAGGTCGATGGCAGACACCGATAGCCGCCGGTGAGGGCGGACATTGTGAAGTTAACAGCCCGACACGGCCGCCGGTCCGGTCCGGTCCGGTCCGGTCCGGCTCTGTTCCCGCGTGGACGGCGTGGTACCGCTACTGTCGGCTCTATGGGACAGCCACAGCCGGCGGGATTCTCCTGGAAATACCTTGTTTTTGGTGTTTTGTGTTCTATTCTCATCAATAGAACAATGTCTCGGTGTCTGTCCAAATGTAGATGAGCTTGTGTCGGCTATCCAGTGCCTTAATGCCGCCTCCATAGTCACGACAGGTCGGCGACTTCACTTCACGGGTCGGTCGATGTCATAGATTTAGGTTTAGGTTGGATCAGACCGGCACACAGCGTCAGCTATACAGGAGCATAGCGATTGGCTCCCTTATGATTCAGTTTCCCAATATTGGGGGTTGGTGGGGTGAGCATCCACCAGGTCCACACTACACACGCGCTGGAGATTATCAATAAGCTCCAGGAAAACACTCCTTCATTCCTCGTCAGGGCCTTGACTAAAACGGTTCACAATAAACACTAAGCAGTTTCCGGTTTATTCACAGGATATACCTAGCTGCTTAGCAGATGCTGGTTAGTTCATGCATAGAGATCTTATATACAAGATCTCTATGAGTTCATGCAGCAGTTGTCTGCATGTGACATGATCTAAATCCAAATAATGTCTCCAACCATCCAGAGCCGAAACTCGTGACCCGGGACTAAACTAAACCACCTGCTCGGTCTTAAATTTTATTTCCATCCTGCACTCGCAAAACAGCGACATTGGAGGAAATGGCAAAGGAGGCGCCAGTCCGAGATAAGGACATCCTCAGCCGAGAAAACGACATAGAGGAGACCACAGAACAGCGGAAAACGTGACCGCAACGGACTCTCGAGACGTGAGAAACAAAATGATAACGTGAGCATGAGCTACCCGCAACGGATAAATGTAGCGAGGTGCAGGATGTTCTGTCGCATTTTCGGGCAGTCTGCACCTAACCAGTGGTCGTTTATCAGCCCATCGTCCTGTTTCAAAGCTAAGACGGCTCCCACTAAGCCTGTGCACGGTCACCTCGGCAGGCTCTGTGTGTGATTCAGAAACAGAGCTCAGCTAACCTGGTCAGCGCTCACACGGCACGACACGGCGACTTTCCGCCGGCCGTGAGTCACGAGAGACCCGCCGGTTGGCCGACCGGTATGGACACGAAACGGAACACAGACTGGGAATGGTAGGTGGATACGACCTGGTTGACTAGGCCCGACACACGGACAGGCAGCAGGCACGGACAGGCCAGCAGACCTGTGTCCACTCAGTTAACGGCCCGCAGTGGTGAGCGATGGCGTCCAGCCGTATCAGAGGACAGTTGGAGAGCTGCACCATCATCTCCCCTCCCTCTCCCCAGCCAGCACTTCCCCTCCCTCCTCTACGGTCACAGACCGCTGCAAACGGGCTATGTGGCGCCCCTGTAGCGTCTCGGACCCCGGCATGAGGAAAACATCAGTCACCGGTGGGCTGTGATTCGCCGACCGCGAGCCACAGCCGGGTTCTACACACCGGCAGACTGCAGACCTGGCTGGCAGACACACCCCACCGCTGCGGCTACAAGCTGCAGCACGTTCCGCGTACCCGGGGTGCAGACGGTACCGGACGGAAAACCCGCTCCCCGCGCTCCCTCGGTCCACCATTCAACAGCGGCAGACGGTGTGTTACCGCTTCTGGACCACATCAGAGGTGCCGCATGCCGCCTGGAATCACCTACAATCAGGCGTAAATATAACAAGAGCCCCACATAATTCGACAAAAAGTGAGAACCAGACGCAGCACCAGGCGTGAACCAAAACCCATCAGAGTGAGAACCAGACGCAACACAGAGGCGTGAACCAAAACCCACCAGAGCTCGTCTGTGACACCGGCGTGGAGTCGCCGAATCGGAACGCCAGCCGTTAGCGGCAGCTCGGCCCGGCGCGGCTGAAATCCAGCTCCGGCGGAGGCACCGCAGGTAATTCCGTCCGGCACGGTCGAACGCCACGGAAAATGACCGTGAGAACCGCCCGGCCGCGGCCGGATCACTGATCTGGAGCCGCCAACTGCCGCAGTAGAGCTGCCAACTGCCGTCAGTGAGCTGCCAACTGCTAGCAAGACTATTGCAAGTCACCACCTTCGAGTCAGCTTCCAGTCAGTTTCGAACAGAACTCAAGCCTCCACCGAGCTTCCTTTGTGTCAACCTCCCTTCCAGCTGACTCGAGCCACCATCAAGGCACCACCGGACCTTTTTCGTGCGATCCACTGCGGACATGATCGCGGATTCTCACGGCGTTGGTCGTTTTTCAAGGGCGATTCGGTCACGGCGGAGACACTGGCCGGAGGAGCCACGCCCAGGTTCGGGCGAGGACAGGACGCTCCAGTCCCAAATGACCGCGGTAACGCCAGTCTCCCACGGGTCGAGAGTGAGGCAGATGGCAGAAACACGACCAGTGTGGCTAAAATTCAGCCAGACTGCACAACTGTAGGAGCATGGAAGCCAAAAATGTGAGCCGAGCGGAGTGTACGTATTGTGTGGATGATCACGGTAGATTTGGAGGTGTGGAGGATCTATATTTGGAAAGGATCCGTCAGAAGAGTCGGTTTCTTTCATGGCTTGTTGACAGCAGTCACCATTTACAAACTATCATCTGCCAGAGAATCAGATAGCTTCAGATTAAAAAGTGGTAAAAACAGCAGTAAAAAGCAGTTACCCTTCGTCCTTCGAGTTGTGGAAAGGGCGGGGCCACCCCATGATTTCACCGCACCACAGACTGACGGAGTTCCCCTGACAGCGGGGTTCCCCTTGACACAAGTCCAGACCTCACTCCCACGTGCTGAGGCACGCGACCCGCCATCAGTGCCTGTCATGTCGCTCCACGTAAAGAAACGCTGCAGCGGTGCAGCCACAGGCACGCAACACATGGGGATAAAGTAAGTGCACGCATTGATTGGAAGTCTGCACGCTGCGAGGTCATTGGGTAAAAAACGCTCGGGACAAGTGCCTGATTGCCTCCCGTTCTCCAATAGCTGGTAGTAAGCCCAGACTCCCCAGCCTTCTGAATGTGTCTGCCCAAAGCCCTTAGCCAAAGACAGACTCATGACATCTGCGCTGCTGTGTCTTTTGTTTCGGCGTTCCCACAGATGGCCTATCGCCCGCCAGATCTCCCATTTTTGGCGTCGCCATCGCTATCCTTATCTTCCAACATCTCACAGTTCTGACATTTCTATCATCCGTGGCGTGTTGATTAGTTTTTAACACATCTTTCTTTCTCTCGTTTCTCTCCATGTCAGATATCGGCCCGCCGTGACGGTTCAAGGTTAAACACAGCGTCATTGCCCTAAAATGGCCAAACCAAACACGCATCGTCACCGCTTTTAGGACAGGCGCTGTGCTTTATCCTGACGGCTCGCTATGAATCAAACGCCGAGCGGAGCCGCTTAGCCGCATATTCAGTGCGGCGGGCCGCCACAAAGCCGGCCCGGAAAGCAGGGCGGCGCCGCGCCGAGCCTCCGCCGCCGTCTGCAAAACCGGCCAGCGCGCGGCGCGGGTCCGGGCAGCGCCGGGCGGCGGCGGCACGGCACCCGTGAGACACTTCTCCGCGCCGGCCGGACTGGGGCGTCTGGCTCTGGGATGCAGTTTGCGGCTCCAAACGCCAGTGTTTTATGCGTGGGTGGTGATACAATTACGGGGTGGCAGGTTTCATGATGGTCCCAGCTATGCCGTGTGGCCCTGGC